AATTTATTACCCTAATTTGGGATATTGTAGATTATGGATTATGTGCATTTTATGACTTTTTATACCAAACTTGCTATCTTTGGATAATTTAAGCATTCTACCCAGGTGAATAGAAACTTTTTATTAATCCGTGCTGTAGATAACTTTAACATAAGCTTTAATAAAATGTTTAATTTTTGTATTACAGCTGTGCCCAGAAGCCCCACCCAATAATTATAGGCCCTTTTATGCCAGGCACTGTACAAACACCTGCAAAGACATGGCAGTTTCAGTAGGTCAAAAATGTCAACCAGCCTCTACAAATTCACGTGCAGAATTTGTGGGTGTTATGTACGCAAATACATGTAGCCCATATTAGAACCTAACTTCCCAATTTGTACATGCAAACACCCATATTTGTATACGTTTGTGGATGCCAGTTGAAACCTTGATCCTTCCACCCAAAATTTCAGAGGGTCTGTCTTTTGTACAGTATGCAAAATATTCATGTGCAAACCTGATTTAGGTGTGTAAATGTGTGTTGGCTTCTGGTAGTAGCTTTCTGCATGCACAAACAGATGCATGTGAAAATTTAACTGCCTCACAAAAGGGAGGCATTTGAAAATTAAAGCTCAACATCTGTAGTGTTCTTTGGTTTGCATGCTGTATTGTGTGTGACTCCGGAAGGCAATGCTGGTTTCCTACTAAACAGTAGATCATATTCTAACCTACTTCAGGGAGAAGGTGGAATGAGACTTAGTATATGAATGCATTTAATACAGTTAATGTCCTAGAATTTGGTGGACATCCTGGGAAACATGCCAACTACAAAATTTAAATCTTCCCCCATATAACTTAAACTTGTGAGACCAGCACTTGCTCAGCAGATCACCATAGCTCTTGCTGACCGTGGCAATGTTACAGGAGTAAAGCGTTTAGTGTGACAAATTGTTTTTGAGCAATAAATCCAGTGTATTAGGTACAAACAGGAGAGTTTCAAATCACACACTGTTACTTTTTCTGTTCTCCTTTCTTATCTTCAACAAATATTTACCACTACCATAGCCACTATGTGGAAAATGTTTTTACTTCCCTTTGGCTTTTCCCAGCATCTAAGGATATTGATAAATATAGGATGATTATAATTTGTCTCTCACATGTGGACTCTCTTAAGGTTATAGTGCCTGGGAACAACTAATAGTGTTTGTCTCTTTCTCCAGTAGTTGCTTCTGCTAAGGCTGTAGTAGCCTCTGAGGCTCCTGCCTGCCTCCTTTGTGTACCCTTGGTCAGTCTCAGCAAATAGCATTCTCTGCCCTTCTGCAGCAGAACCACAGGTGTTCTCTTGGTTCAGGGCCCTTCCAGTGATTTGGAGTGCATGTGAGCATGTATATGTGCACGGATGCATGTGTACAGGGGGATCCACTAACAATCACAGCAGGCTTTGCAGTTGGAAGAAGTAGCATCAGCATCCAAGAGCAACATCATGGGTAAACTATGGAGAGATGCAGTTTACGTTTAAATAATGCGTCCAGAACTTAAAATTCTTTCTGTAAATGCGGGGGGAGAGTTAGTTCCAGGGAAATTGGTTTTTTGCCGTACAGTACAGTACTATAGTCGGGAGGGTCCCCCGCCTTACCCCACACAGGCACAGCCCACTGGCACTGGAAACAGTGAGGCAGGCAAGGAGGCTGAGGATGCTGTAGGCTAGGAGAAGCACGTTGCGCAGCGGCAGCTTCCCCTCCTCTGCAAGCACCAGGGGCGGGGGGCTCAACCCTCGGCCTGCTCACTCCACCCCTTCCCCCAAACTCCCACCCTTAACCCATCTCTTCTTCCCCCCCTTCTCCCCCTTTACTCTGCACGCCGCATCCTCACTCCTCCCCCCTCCCTCCTGCCCACGGCAATCAGCTGGCTTGCAATGTTCAGGGGGCAGGAAGGTGGGGGGAGGAGCGAGGACTTGGTGCGTAGGCTCCCCCTGCCTCCCGAACACTGCAAACCAGCTGATTGTCATGGGGAGGAGGCAGGGGAGGGAGGGGGAGCCTGCACGCTGTGTCCTCGCTCCTCCCCCCTCCCTCCAGAACGCCGCAAGCCAGCTGATTGCCGCGGGCAGGAGGCGGTGGGAGATGGGGGAAGGCGCTGATCCGCAGGGTCTGCCAGCAGATGGGAGGTGCTGTGCGGAGGGGCGGGGGTGTAGGGGAGCTGATGGGGGGGCTGCCAGCTGTGGACAAAGCAGGCAGCCAAACGATGTTATAGCAAAGCATTGCACAACTTTAAATGGAGCGTGTTTTGTAATTGAGCAGGAACGTAAGATCAAAACAACATTAAGCAAGAGGATGTTAAGAGGGAAGTTACTGTATACATAATATATGAATGCTTATATGCATCACTGGATGGTTTAAATGCAGCCACCTCTGGTGTATACCATGATTGTTCTTTGACAATGCCTGGCCCTATTACACAGCATATTAAAGCATACCTTAGTCTCTCAGGACAGTGTCAGGAACCCATAGAGTTTAGGGTCTCTGAGCCTATTTCCAAAGCTCATTGAAGTCAGTTGAGAGACTCCCATTACCTTCGGTGGGCTTCGGGTCAGGCTTTCTGTGGGAGATCACCTTGAGTGAAAACCCTACATTTTTATTACTAGCTGTCCCTCAGGCACTGAAAAATCTACTTTAAGACCCCTGCCTGGTTTTCTTATTAAAATGGTTTCCTTAAAATAGATGACCTGGTAGGTTATTTCTTCCTTTACAAGGGCTATTTAACTAAATGCTTCAAAGATAGTTAATGCCTTTTTATGAGAACAACAAAATGTTGTACAGCTACTCAAAGCCTACTCTTAAAGGTGAACTGAAAGAAACTAAGGAGAAAAGTAAATTTCTTGTCTCTTAATTTGCTTTATTTTAGTAGCTTTTCCTGTCAGAATTTTTAAATTCCAGGGTTTTTGTACGAGTTTGAAGGTAAAGTGCTTTCTTTGGAAAAAATTAACCCAACAGATGTTAAAGGGGAATAGATTGTTAATTGAAGATATTGTAGTTCTGTTTATCTCCCTGGAGTGACTTCTGTTAGCTTGTATCAGTGAGGAAATTCTATAACATGGTTACACTTGTGTGGTTAAAAATACATGTTAGTGCTGTAGGTTTGTTTTGAGGCTGTTCTCCAGGTCCTTCTGCTTGCTGTGGGGTTCTTGCACTTTACACCCAAGCATATGATGCTGGTCACTGTTAGAGACAGGATACTGCATTAGATGGAACTTGGGACGGATCCAGTCTGCCAGTTCCTACATTCCTGTGTTCCCATGCGTGAAGAGACACTAAAATGAGGGACGTCAGTGGTAGATACATGCTGAGAGAAACATCAAGTTTTCTTTTCATGTGCTCTTTGAGAAGCTTGTGTTTATTTGTTAGCAGATACTTTTTGCTGAATCAGGTACTTAGGGTACAATTCACAGAGCCAGATACAGGTTTTATTAAAATGGACTTGTATTCTTCTAAGTGTGGCAGCTCTCTAGAAATTAGAGGGTTATAATTAAATCAGGCCCTCCTTGAACAACCTCAAATACGATGGCATTCATAGATTCATAGATACGAAGGTCAGAAGGGACCATTATGATCCTCTAGTCCGACCTCCTGCACAACACAGGCCACAGAATCTCACCCACCCACTCATGCAAAAACCTCTCACCTATGTCTGAACTATTGAAGTCCTCAGATCGTGGTTTAAAGACTTCAAGGAGCAGAGAATCCTCCAGCAAGTGATCTGTGCCCCATGCTACAGAGGAAGACGAAAAATCTCCAGGGCCTCTTCCGATCTGCCCTGGAGGAAAATTCCTTCCCGATCCCAAATATGGCCATCAGCTAAACCCTGAGCATATGGGCAAGATTCACCAGCCAGATACTACAGAAAATTCTTTCCTGGGTAACTCAGATCCCACCCCATCTAACATCCCATCACAGGCCATTAGACCTATTTACCATGAATATTTAAAGATCAATTAATTACCAAAATCATGTTATCCCATCATACCATCTCCTCCATAAACTTATCGAGTTTAATCTTAAAGCTAGATAGATCTTTTGCCCCCACTGCTTCCCTTGGAAGGCTATTCCAAAACTTCACTCCTCTGATGGTTAGAAACCTTCGTCTAATTTCAAGTCTAAACTTCCCAATGACCAGTTTATATCCATTTGTTCTTGTGTCCACATTGGTATTGAGCTTAAAAAATTCCTCTCCCTCTCCGGTATTTATCCCTCTGATATATTTATAGGGAGCAATATCTCCCCTCAACCTTCTTTTAGCATTCAACATATTTGCTGCCCCCAGGCTCAGAATTTGTCTGGCAGTGGGGTGACAGGGTATCTGAATTGATAATGTGGGGGCATAGGGTGATCCATCTCCTGCCCTCGTTGGGATACATAGATACCCCTGCAGGACTGAACCATATGGAGCAACCATTAAAGCAAATCAAAAATGTGAACAGATGAAAACATGATACACCTGTTTCAGGGAGCTGCGTCATGGGATAGATTCAAGGCCTGTAGCGCTGTCAAAGTATGCTGCATGTATGGTGACAATGCACCATGCACTTGAATCGGGATGGCTAATGTGGAAGCTCTGAGCTATTGTGGCTTGAACTGGCAGAAGTACAAGTCTGTAGTGTAGACAGGATATATAAGGGAAGTGTCCCTTTTCTCCATTTGAACGCATGTGGGAAGATCCTCAACAGACAAAAATGGAACTGAGTGCTTGTCAATACTGCTTCTAGTCCTGTGGGAGTGACTGAAAACATGTCGTGCGTATCACTCAAATTCTCCTTCTCACTGTTTCCATTAACTTGATTAATTACTGTGACTTGGTTTGAAAGGTTAAATAGAGAATTCCCCAAACACCACACTGAAAATAGTGCTCTTGATCATGCAGATAAATAAAAAGAAGTTAAATTTTAAAAGTTGGCATCAAAAAGTCTATTTGAATGAAATGTCTGGTCATTTGTACACAAGGTAACTTACTTTGATTTCTTCTTGTAGATGAAGAGACCAGAAGCCTGCAGTTTGAAGAGTAACCTCTGCATATTACTGCTGGGCATAATTCGCATTTTCTTTTGGTGGTGGTTGGCAGAGCTGATGATTCATCTCATGTATATCCATGCCATATACAGTAGTTCTTCACATCTGGAAGCAGTGTCCTACTGGACTTTAGGTCAGTGTAAATATTACTTACTTTGAATATACTTGTTAATTACTTATTCATTACCTAATCGGTGCCCAAGAAATGTTTTATAGACACACAAGGCCAGAGTTTGCTTCCCCTAAAAAATTATAATTAAGACCATTTGAATATTTTGGATAAAAAGCCGGCTAGATTGTCGAGCTTAACGGGTAGTGATCGACAGCTTGAGGTCTAGTTGGCAGATGGTATCAAGCGGAGTGCCCCAGTGGTTAGTCATGGAGCCGGTTTTGTTCAACATCTTTATTAATGATCTGGAGGATGGCGTGGATTGCACCCTCAGAAAGTTCATGGATGACACTAAGCTAGGGGGAGAGGTATATATGCTGGAGGGTAGGGATAGGGTCCAGTCTGACCTAGACAAATTGGAGGATTGGGCCAAAAGAAATCTGATGAGGTTCAAGAAGGACAAGTGCAAAGTCCTGCACTTAGGACAGAAGAATCCCATGCATCGCTACAGGCTGGGGACCGACTGGCTAAGCAGCAGTTCTGCAGAAAAGGACCTGGGAATTACAGTGGATGAGAAGCTGGATATGAGTCAGCAGTATGCCCTTGTTGCCAAGAAGGCTAACGGCATATTGGGCTGCATTAGTAGGAGCATTGCCAGCGGATCGAGGGAAGTGATTATTCGCCTCGATTCAGCACTGGTGAGGCCACATCTGGAGTATTGTGTCCAGTTTTGGGGCCCCCACTAGAGACAGGATGTGGACAAATTGGAGAGAGTCCAGTGGAGGGTAACAAAAATGATCAGGGGGCTGGGGCACATGACTTACGAGGAGAGGCTGAGGGAACTGGGGTTATTTAGTCTGCAGAAGAGAAGAGTGAGGGGGGATTTGATAGCGGCCTTCAACTACCTGAAGGGGGTGTTCCAAAGAGGATGAAGCTTGGCTGTTCTCAGTGGTGGCAGATGACAGAACAAGGAGCAGTGGTCTCAAGTTGCAGTGGGGGGAGGTCTAGGTTGGATATTAGGAAACACTATTTCACTAGAAGGGTGGTGAAGCACTGGAATGGGTTACCTAGGGAGGTGGTAGAATCTCCATCCTTAAAGGTTTTAAGGCTCGGCTTGACAAAGCCCTGGTTGGGATGATTTAGTTGGTGTTGGTCCTGCTTTGAGAAGGGGCTTGGACTTAGATGACTTCTTGAGGTCTCTTCCAACCCTAAACTTCTATGATTTTGTGATTTTTCAAATTCAAAAGTTAAAACAAATTGAAAAAATGTAGATGAAATTTTCACCCTGTTTTTATGCCAACTACAGAGCTGATTGAAATTATTTGAAGTTTTGAGGAGAAAAAGGAAAAACATAGTGAGAAATTTTTCACAATTCTTCCTTCCTACCCTGTTTTTCCCCCCTCCAATCTGTTTTACTGTTCTAAAAAGACAAAATAGATCAAAAGGTTAGAGCAGGGGTCGGCAACCTTTCAGAAATGGTGTGCCGATTCTTAGTGTATTCACTCTAATTTAAGGTTTTGCGTGCCAGTAATACATTTTAACCTTTTTAGAGGGTCTCTTTCTATAAGTCTTTCATATGTCACTAAATTATTGATGTATGTGAAGTAAATAAGGTTTTTAAAATGTTTAAGAAGCTTTGTTTAAAATTAAATGAAAATGTAGAGCCCCCCAGACCGGTGGCCAGGACCCGGGCAGTGTGAGTGCCACTGAAAATCAGCTCACAGGCCACCTGTGGCACACGTGGCATAAGTTGCCCACCCCTGGGTTAGAGCAAGGGAGTCTGGAAGAAAACAAGGTGGCAGGAAGGCAATGATCTGTGTATATACTGTTTAGTTCATGATGATCACCATCATTGTGTATATATGTGTGAGAGACAGATGTTTAGTATTTTAAAATAACTTTTCCGCAGCTCTTTTTCAGTTTCTTGTTCTTTCTTTTTGGTGGCTGTATGATAATTTGATTATAGATGCCTAAATATTATAATGAGTGCAGTATAAAGATGTTGATAGTAGTCACATTCAAGCTGTAGTTACGTTACATTCACAGATGCTAAGATCTTCTGCTGCTCTGTGATGTGTACCTTTGGGGAACTTCCCCCCCCCCCCCCAAACTCTTTGGCTCAGTAAAGCCAGACGTGTTGCTCACTGAAGCAAAGGAGATGCCTCTCTCTACCTCAGCTAGTTAGGTGACACTGCTGTAAGTACATAAGGGAAAATCTAGTTCTGTCCAGCTGATTACGGTGGTACACAAGACCATTAATTAAGTACAGTCCTATAGCTTATTTTTGATCATCTGTGATCTGTGCTATACAGGAGGTCAGACTAGATCAGTGGTCTCCAACTTTTTAACGCCCCAAATCACTTTTTGAATCTAAGGGCAAACCAGGATCTACCTCACTCCTTCCCCTAGGCCCCTTCCCTTCACCAAAGCCCCTCCCACTCCACCACCATCCCCCCCGTCATTCGCTCTCTCCCACCCACCCTCACTCACTTTGACTGGGCTGGAGCAGGGGGTTGGGATTCGGGAGGGCATGTGGGCTGTGGGCTGTGGCCGAGGGGTTCACAGTGTGGGAGGGGACTCTGGGCTGAGTCTAGGGCAGGGGGTTGGGGTGCAGGAAGGGGTGAGGGGTGCAAGCTCTAGGAGGGAGTTTGGGTGCAGGAGGGGGCTCTGGGCTTGGGCAGAGTGTTGGGGTGCTGGTGGGGGTACAGGGTGCTGTCTCTGGGAGAGGGTTGGGGTGCAGGAGGGGGTAGGGGTGCTGGCTCTGGGAGGGGAGTCCGGGCTGGGGCAGAGTGTTGGGATGCAGGAGGGGTTCTGGGGTGCTGGCTCTGGGAGGGGGCTCAGGAATGGGGGTTTGCCCAGTGCTTTCCGGTTGGCAGCGCAGCGAGCCTAAGGCAGCCCCACACAGCTCCTGGAAGGGGCCAGCGTGCCCCTGGGAGGCAGCTGGGGGGCATGTGGCTCCGCGCAGTGCCCCTCTCTGCAAGCACCAGCCTCGCAACTCTTCCAGCCAATGGGAGCTGTGGGGGTGGTGCTTGCAAGCAGGAGCAGCGCATGGAGGGAGACCTCTTTCTCCCCACCAACCCCCAGGCGTGGGGCTGCGCTGGCTGCTTCCAGGAACGGCGTGGGTATGCGGTAGGCAGGGAGTTTGCCTTAGCGGCAGCCACACTACGCTACCTGAGATCGCAATTGACTGGGAGATTCTCTAGGATTGACCAGTTGATTGCAGTTGATCGGTTGTTGGTGACCACTGGACTGGATGATCACAATGGTCCCTTCTGGCCTTGGAATCTATGAACCTATGAACAGAAATTCAGCCCAGCAGTTGATGTCAGTCTTTAACAGTCCTGGGCCAATAGATGGCATCTGTATTCGCAGGGAGCAAGCTGTGCTCCCTCCAGTGGAGGGCAGTGGTACATGTCCTCTCAAAGCTAGTTTGGTGTACGTGACAGAAAGATAAGAGGTTTTCCTCCAAGCTTTTTTCCCCTCCCCTAACTCCATCAGCATTTGTAAAGGAGATTCTGAATTAGCATTTTCTGTTCCAAACAAGAGTTCTTCAGTCAATTAAATCCAGTAGCTGCTGACGTCTTCTGTATTCAGAGGGTAAAAGCTTTGCAGTGTTAAGTGATGGAACATGTTAAATCAAATGCTGACCAGTTAATAGATGCAAGAGTCCAAGTTTAAGGGACAACTATTCAAGAAGTGTGTGTCTGTGTGTGTAAATTTTCAACAGTATTAAAACAGTAAATAAAAAAATTACTATTTGAGGAGCAGCTTAGGATGCTGATATATTCATTTGATGCAATCAGTATCACATTTCAATAACTAAAACTCATTTAGAGCTGGTGATTAGAAAATGCTTAAAATATAAGTTCAGGTGATGAAAGTCTATTTCAAAGCAAGTTTGCACTGTAAAACTTCCCTAGTCTGATTAAAATATGATAATCTGAACTTAAATAATAGTCCTTTGGAGAGCCTATTTTTAGAAGAGGCGTGATTAATGGGGGATGGTACACTCGGACAGAGGGATTACAAGTGACAGTGTAGTTAATGAAGATGGGTAGTTAAACAGTAGGGTTCAGTTAAGTTTTCAAGGCAATGAAAAAATGTGACATTTTTACAGGTACATTCAAGTGCTTCAGTTCTGTCCAGTTCTGACAATCTGAAGCTATTTGTTTATCACAGTAATTGTGCTTCATCTCTCATTAAAGTCAAATCACATTAACAGATTTAAGACACAGGAAATTTTAGGCTTAAATTCCACGACTGTCCTTGTAAACAGTATTTAGTAGATCTGTTTTCCTCTGATCCTTTCTTAGTTATACAGAGCTTTACATACCCTTTAATGTTCCTTGTACAGACCCAAATAATACCTTTATCTCAGGTTCCATAGTATTGAAACTGCGTACATGAAAGAGGGACTGAGGAAATAGACGGTTGATACTAAAGCAGTGGTTTTCAACCTTTTTTTCATTTGTGGACCCCTAAAAAATTTTGAATGGAGGTGTGGACCCCTTTGGGACCACAGGTTGAAAACCACTGTACTAAAGGATTAACCACATGGGATATTAAGGTTCCTGTGCCACTGTTTTCTTTTGTGTCCCATTTTTTATTAATATCCATTTAGCTCTTGGCAGATTGAAAGCTGTGGGTATCATCTTGTGTATATTAGGTGTTGCATCACTGCCCCCAGTAACTTGTAAACTTCATAGCGAAGTGTGACATAGTATTGCAATAACCTGTAATTAGGTCATGTAATGGAAATATGTAGAACTTGTGGATGTTACAATTGCCCTTCCAATTTTTCTTGAATATTTTGGAGTAATATACAACGAAACCCATCAATGTGGATAAAAGCAGCATCTTAAAACTTGAGCAAAGGGTAACTCGGTAAATCTTGGGGACGCTTTGCCATGGTCAAAAGTATCCGTAAGAGGAGCATAATCAGAATAGCTTTTTGGTCATAAAAAGGTTCAGTATAACGTCCCTGCAAGGTACAGCTATAAGCATATAAAATGTTTATATAGTAA